AGCAAACACTGTGATTAATGTATCATCGCACCAACTTTCGGAAACGGAAAAATCAGTTCTTTCAAAAGGTTCCAACTTCGTCCTTGCCCCACGTATTATCCTAAAAGAGGAAATCTTTTCAAATGTCGAGTCTATCCTAAACCAACTGCCCACTCAAACAGCTAATGAAGTTCGATTTGAAACCGCAAAAATCCTTAAATAATCAAGACCTCCTAAATCTAATATTGCAAAGCCTGAACGCATTGCCCTAAAATCTCTAAAATCTAATACCGACATCGTAATCCTAAAAGCAGATAAAGAAAATGCTACGGTGGTCATGAACACAAATGAATATCAGGAAAAGATTCAAGATATTCTTAGGGACGGATCATATCGTCAACTTAAAAAGAACCTACGTTCTCTATGGAACGCAACCTTAAATCTGTCATTAAGGCTTCTTCTCTATCAGACTCCGTGAAAAAATCTGTCACCCCTCATGACTCTAAAATTCCTCATATCTACGGACTCCCAAAGATTTACAAATCAGGATTACCCCTTCGACCTAATGTCAGCACCATTGACTCTTCAACATATTCTCTAGCAAAATATCTAGCTTCCTTATTAAAACCCCTACAGGGAAAACTAATACTTTCGTACTTAATTCCTTTCACTTCATTGAACAATTAAAAAGGATTACATTAGATACGCAAGACATTCTGGTTAGTTTCCACATACAATTCTTCTTTACTAAAGTATCTATTTCTGACACTCTCAACATCATTTCAAATATATTAAAATCCGAGAACCTGGAACCAAATCTTCTCACCTTAATTGAAAAATGATTGTCTGGAACATGTTTTTCTTATAACGGTCAAATTTTTGAACAAACGTCGGGAACAGCTATGAGTTCTCCACTATCACCAGTCATAGCGAATTTATATATGGAAGCCTTTGAGAAGAAAGTTGTAGACACCTTCCATCTAAAACCAAAATTATGGAAACTCTATGTGAATGATACTTTTGTTATTTGGCCTCATGGTCAAGAATCCCTAGTAGATTTTCTTAGATATTTAAACTCTATACACAATAACATACGTTTTACCATTGAATTAGAAACTAATAATAATCTCCCATTCTTAGATATTTTTATCCATAGAAAATCAGACCTAACATTGGGTCATTGTGTTTACAGAAAACCTACTCATACAGACCGATACCCTAATGCATTGTCACATCACCATCCGTCCCAAAAATCATCGGTTATCAACCTTCTTGTTTACAGAGCCCTAAAAATATCTCAGTTTTAGTCACTAAACCCAAAATTAAAACATCTTACCTCTGCTCTTCTCTCTAATAATTAACATATTAAAGATATTAAGCATTCCATCACAAAACACACTTCACCACAACGTTCCAATAGCAATGAGAGCGAAAGAACTTGCTACTGTTGTCTATCCTTATATTCAAAACATCAATGACCACATATCAAAAGTTCTAAAGAAATATAACGTCAAAACCAGATTTACCACTTGTCCAAAAATCTCTCAACATATTCGATCCGTCAAAGACAAATTTCCACTTGCGATGCCAGGAGTTTATAGCATCCACGTATATGCGGTAAAGAATACATTGGAGAGACCGGACGGAAAATATCAACTAGGCTCAAAGAACATGAAAGAGCCTTGAGACCAAGACAAATAAAGTCATCAGTAGTTACCGAACACAATCACGAAATCGGACATAAAATTTTATTCTATAAAACTAAAATTCTTTCATGTAATCAATTCTTCTACCAACAAAAAATCTGGGGTCTCTAGAAATCTATAAACAATCTAACAATCTTAACCGCGACACAGCTCTTTACCTGTCACCAATGTGGGAATCAGTCATCCGATATGGTGTTTATGCCCCTCATTTAACTCCGCCCCCGTCAAACAATATATGCGGACCAGTTTCAATTAAGCTTTGAAGAAGCCAACAGGATGATTGGCGAATCGTTAGCAAGTTTTACTCAGCAAAAACCGACCCAGGTGGAATGCAGAAGTTTTGTAAAAAGTAGGAGAGTTTTGGTTTCAAAGAAGCAGGAGCTCAATTAGAAGAAAACTATTTAAGAACAAAAACAAAATAATAAAAAGTACTTTGAAGCTATCATAATCGCTGTACCAAAACCAAACCGATGTCATATTCACGAAAACTACGCATAAATTAAATTGGATAAATTCTTTAGCTATCTCTAACAGGTAAAGCCTACATCATATTATTTTAAATGGAACATCCTTTATATTATATATGCGTTTAATAAAATATCTTATTCTTATAACAGACTTTATATTTTAGTACACTCGTTTTTGACAAATCGGCAAAAATATTAAATTTTTATATAATTAAAAGTGCCGTGACTGAGTGCAACAACAATAATTATATAACAAAAACACTAAAAATTACATGTGTCCCCAAATGAAAAAAGCCATTATAGTTAAGTCGGGGCTGTTGGCTGGGCAATCCATAGTTCCGCCGTTCCTTATTCAACCCCTGGGATATTTTGCATTTGAAGCATTTTTTTAACTTGCACAACATTGTAAGGAGGGGGGCACCGTCTTGCTGCCATATAATCAGTGCTGATATATGTAGGGGTAAATCTTCTATATATTGTTCTATTTGCTGCTCTTCTAGCCGGCTATCATTATGGCCATTTAGTCTTTCTGACAAGAAAAGAGGTTCAATTAAGTAATTTCCCACAAGTTCAGACCAAAAATCATTTACAAAAATTAACACGCAAGGGAAAATCTGGGAAGTAACGCTTGGACCCGTTGATTATGATATCGGTAGGATAGAAAATCATGCAAAATGTTCCAAACCAAAACGTGCGCGATATTCAGATTATTTCCAATTTTTCTAGTACTAGGTTGAGGAGTTTCATCAATAAAATTTAAAACTTCTTCTTCAATTTCTGTAGTTCTTACAATGATGACAATGATTCAAGGCACTCGCGGTTGGTTGTTTTATAACTGAGCAAATGTTATTAAGACACCACCCCAGTCACCAGACTTAATTGTAATTGAAAATTTGTTGTTGACATTAAAAAACAAAGTAAATAGTGCCGCAATATCTAACAAGAATGAATTAAAAGTAAAAATTACTGAAGTATGGAACATAATTTCCCGGGAGTATATTAGAAAACTAGTTGAATCAATACTACAAGGCGTTATCGATAATGAGGAAGGCCCGACTAAATATTCGCAGGAGTATTTCAAATTATGCAGTCGTTTTGCTCTAATTGATTTGGTTATATATTGTTTTGCATCATTTTACATGTGACGTTAATATTGTATGTAATTTGCTTAATCGTTTATTGTTAACTAAGTAAGGCATATTTAAGACAAAAAGTAATTGACACTTTTTTAGAAGGCCCTTTACTAACTTAATTTCAATAAGCTGTTTTTTTTTTCAAATAAATAAAGAGACATTAAGACCAGCTAGTTTTTGTGCTGTGTGTCACTGTATATTCGCCTAACTGGTATGACTGCATTAGGAAAGCGCAATTGACATAATCTGCCATCAGCGAAACCATATATAAAATGCATATCAGCCAACTCCATTAGTAAACAATGCTCCGATATTTTAAACATCAAAATAATAAGACGCGAAGTTAAAAACTGATGTTAAACGACTGTCAAACAACCGCCTTGACAACCGACTTAATAAGTCATAGAGAATTAATAATTCTTTATTCTTACAGAGTTTGCGTACTTGGTATTCGTACTTCAATTTTTTTAAGTATTTTAATAAAACAGATAGACATTTACTTAAATGTACGAAATAAAAAAGATAATAATTCTCCGTACATCAAATTGATTGAAGATTGTAAGGATAATTTTTATTTTAAGAGAAATCAGTTGCGTACCATGAATGTGGTACACTAAATAAAGCTTCTTGATGCATAGTACTTATGTGCGAAATTTTATTAAAATATCTAAAATGGTAATACACATATTAAAAAAATATATTTTATTTTTAAAAACTTTACCATATTTTATCTCAAAAGTTAAAACATTTAGGATATACGTTCATATTAATATTTCTTTAATCAATCAATCAATAATCGCCCCATTAATTAATGATATTCAATTAGCAATCACCCTGTATATTTTAATTGCCTTTAATGTTTGTTATTTTAATTAATTGTATTGTTTATTGTATTATTTAACTGACATATATATTGATGATTGTTTTAACGGCGCCACGCATGGAAATTGAAATTAAATTGTTTTAATAAATATTAAAATAAAATAAAATATTCATTCCATACAAGAAAGCGAAAGTTTTCGGAAACAATTCGCGCAAAAAGTTGGCAAGCGTATGCGGCTTGCACAGTAGTAAGGTCGGCCATTATAACGTAACAATAAGATTTATTCCGGGACATTCCTTAAGAGAGTACGTGTCGGCGTTCCGCTGTCCAAATTAGTTTTGGCCCGATAACAATGCTTTGCGTCTGATTAATTCCGACCAGAATTCGAATACCAACAATCTTCGAGGATCTTATCTTTGGGAAAGTTGACCCTGGTGTTAGGTCTCCAATTTACATTGTAAACTTGCTCGCTCTCCCAATTAATTAGAAACTTTGTGTTTGGGAAGATTGTTTTTATTGTCGCAAGATGCGATTAAATCTTTATCGAGCCAAACGGAAATGCAATTGGATGTGAATCAATATGAGAATAATTAAATTGGATAGTTACTACACAGCCAATTTTACAAAAATAAACTAAAACTAAAAGAAAAACAAACAATTATTATTTAATAATACTTTTGTACTCTTCCTTTCAGTGAGTGAGTGGTAAACAGTCTCCAAAAAATTTGATAAAGGTTGAACTGATAAAATTCCTTTATTTTGGAAAAAAATATCGCAGGATCTTGATCGGTCCAATTGTAAGTAGAATGGACCGTGGATCAATATGAAGATAATTACATTCTGCGCAAAATATTATTAAATGATAATTCCTGTAATCACTATTGATTTTCAGTGCCAGCGAAGCTGATTTGGGCTGTCATCGGAAAGGATGCGGAACTACCATGCGACGTTACCCCAGCTCTGCCGGGAGACAATGTTACTATGATTTTCTGGTTTAAAGACAATTTGGGGATGCCAATGTACAGGTAAATATGCAGAGTTTATTCCTGTACAAATAAGACAATTCCAAAACCTCGTTATAAATGACCTACCATTTATTTATATTTGCAATTGATTGGAATTGAAATGTGTCCTTTTTTATCAAATGTAGCTAGGACAACTCATTTTTAGGCCAATTTAGATAGTGTGCCCATTGTTATCCATTCAGGAATAAAACTAATAAATACCATCAAGCCCTCTGTACTGAAGGTAAATAAAACCAACCAAATTTTATTTTATTAAGTAAAATGCATCTAATTGAATATTTGCGGATAACAGTATGTACAGGGTGGCCGCTCTAAGAGGAACCTATACCTTATCTCGAAGCCTGCGGGGTTACAAAAAAAATGAAATACATAAGTTGTTTCCATTAAAATGACCATTATTTTTTTTCCTAGTAGTTACTTTTTTATATATAGAGTGGTAAAAAAAGTTACATTTTTTTAACTTTTTAAACTTTTTTCCATCTATTATTTTTACGAAAATAATACTTTTCTTTAGAGAATAATCAAATTTAAAATATTTTCTTTAAATACGCGGTGTTGCCACGTTTCGCAATATGATGCTGTTCTCAATTTTCTTAAATGAGACACCCTGTATATTATTGGATTTTTGAATAGCCACTTTAATAGCAAATTCAGTTATATAACACAGTACGGATCTCTGACTTACCGTTTTGGCTTACTTGGCGATTATTTTTCAATAATACTTAAATTATTTTCATAATTTAAAAATCTTGTAAATAAGGTCTTTAAGTGGAAAAAACTTTTAAAAAATATTCATAATCTTAATGATATAGACCACATGTCTTTCGAAAATCTTTAGAAACCTGCCTGCCTGTGAAGACCACAAACACAATATTGATGATATTATTATTTTTAACTATTTTGACATAATCATCGCAGTAGCTTTGAAAACAACAGTATTTGTCTGATATGGTAATATTACTGATATTTTGACAGGTGTCAGTGTATTTTTTTGACTTCCACTTCGACTATTTTCTATTTCTTTTATTAAGTTGTATTTTTGTTGAGTCTATTTTGCATAATGTATACGAAGGAGGAAGAAGTTGTTGAACTATTAGAATGTGATCTCAGACAATATAGAGCCAAATTTCTCCAAAGGCGATTGCCAGAAAAAAAAATATTTGCGAAAATATACCAGCAGTTTCCAACAAATGGCAGTATTTTAGTGAAAAAAAGTAGGAGCCGAACGGTTTTGGATAAAAATATGCAGCTAGATATTCTTCTGCATTTTGAGACCTCCACCCGCCTTGCCGCTTCAGATGTAGACGTAAGACGAACTACACTTCAAACATGTTTAGAAATTAACAGTTATAAGCCATGTAAATTCACACCAGTATAAAAACTGCAAGAATCAGATTTTAACTTAAAACTCGAATTTTTCAATATAATGATGAATAAGCATGTTTTGGATAACATATTTCAAAATATAATTTGGACCGATAACGTCTGCGGTGTTATTTAATAGAAAAATACGCATTATTGGAGTTCAGAAAATAAAAAGTGTGTTGTGTTGTTTGAAGTAAACAAGCAGGGGCAAAGATTCGTGAAATTATGGTGCGCAATCTGGAGATCTGGACCCATATTTTACCAACAAAATTTAATATCCGTACGATATTTAAACTTATTAAGGAACGAAATTCGACTACTTATACATAATAATATTCCCCAAGGAGAGCATCCATATTTAATTTGGCAGCAAGATGGCGCTCCTTACCATCGAAGTGCTGCAATCATTCGTTTTTTAAACAGAAATTTCAGAGAGTGGATTGGACAAAACGAAACCATCTCCTAGCCAGCGAGGAGTCCAGGTTTGACCCCGATGGACTTTTTTCTTGTGGGGCACATTGAAATATATGGTTTACAAAGATAAACCGTCAACAGTTTTGGAAGTGGAGCAACGAGTTCGCGCGGCAGTACGCTATCTAAATGAAACGAATTACGTCTCAAATGCCATATACTATTTAGAAATAGCATATACTGCTTGTATTCTTCAAAACGGCGGACATATTGAAAGACAATTGAATTACTTTTACCCGTAATTAATATGCATTGGTAGTTAGCGTTAATTTTTTGTAGTTATTTCACGTAGACATTTAAACGTAGAAATAAGTAATTCGCGAAATTTGACAACATTGTGCTTAGCTTAATATACTGTTTTTAATATGACTTCTTAACAATGCTCTATAACTGTTGCGAACAAGTTGATATGGAGCTCATTAAGCCAAAATGGTAAGCCAGGGACCCGTACTATGCTATATAGTTGAAATTGCTATTAAAGTGGCTATTCGAAAATCCAATAATATACAGGCTGCATAAGAAAATTGTAAAAATTATCATTTTGCGAAACGTGGCAACACTGCGTATTTTAAGAAAATATTTTGAATTTGGTCATTGCCTAAAGAAAAGCATTATTTTCGTAAAAATAATAGATGGAAAAAAAAAGTTTAAAAAATTAATAAACAACCTAACAATGATGGTTTAAACATAACCCGAATTCTAAACATGATCGCTATTAAGTTCGAAACTGTGCATCACAGAACCATAATCATTTTATATTGTTGAATTTGTCCTTGAAAAAACTATCCAAAAATGCAATAAAATATAGGGTGTTTTACCACCCTGTATATAAAAAAGTGACGATTAGGAAAAAAAAATAAAGGTCATTTTAAATGAAACAACTTTTGTAATTAATTTTTTTTTGTAACCCCGTAGGCTTCGAGATAAATATAGGCCCCTCTTAAACGGGCCACCCTATACATGTTCACTGGCCATATTCTGACACCGACTACAGGTAAACCGCGTCTCTATAATTTTCTTGTCCAACAAACAAATTCAATAGCAGCGATCAGTTTATTAAAGAAATTCTATCGTACTGTCTAAACTTGGTCAAAACTAGCTCTAGAGCGCGTAGTTCCTTTTTAGAATAGAAGAATCTTTCTGGAATGTTTTTCGGAGGTTCCACTTGACTTTCTGCCTTTTTTTCTGCAATAATTTTTGCCTCATGTACCAACGGAATTGTTTAAGCGACTTTCTATCTGTTATGGTTTTTAATATTCTCCTGTGCAAGGTTATTGATCAGTTTTTTATTTGTAAGCTGTCCTTTTAACTAAATTTCACACAATATAGCTTGTTTGTGTAGGAATTAAAAAAATATTTTACAGGGTGATTCAGAAATATGTGGTAAGTCAATGTAACATTTTTTATACGAAACTCCCTATATCTGCATTATACAGTTTCGAATTATTAGAGCTTCAAGTAAAGTCTATTATTTATTTATTTCCTATTTCTATTAGTTTGTTTAGTTTTGGTTAGTTTGTTAGTTGTGGTTAGACTACATATACCATAAATATCACGTATGCCTTCTCTGATAGCATTTTTACGCTGTTACTAATATAGAATGTGCCGTTGTTTAGATGTACCTATAAATAATTATTAATATTTAGAAAAATACATTACATAAAAATGATAATGTAAAATTTTAAATAAAAGTTTATTATTTTAAACATATTAGGTGCGGGTCTTACCTCACCTTTTCTCAAAGGTGGTGGACAATGATTCAGTAGAAATACTAAGAGATTGTCGAACTTACATTTATACACTGGATTATGTGTTTAATCTTGTCGGAGTTGTTCCGTTAGAACGTTAGCATTGGTGCTCCCATTTATGTAATTGTAGGTATTTCCACGCTTGGATTGCTAAAGATTTTCCCATTGTTTTTTGTTTTAAACTTGCGCTTTTTCCAATGCGGCTCCCTGTGGACAATCTGAGCTTCGGACCATTTGATGTGATAAAGTAATATAGCACTCAGATCTATACTAGTTCGCGAGATTCCGCAACCAGCAGCTTAAGTAAATTTCTCCTTCGAATCGTCCAGTCCCTTACCAGAAGAACTCGTTCATTTGTAAAGAACTCCGGACAGTTGGTAAGATTATGTCTTTAGACAAGTTTGTTATCTTTGACGTGGAAAGTATATAGACCAACGTGCCCAAAGTTTTACGCATAAGATGATGGCCTATCGATGGGCTTCCTTCAATGTACGTTATAGATGTGGCAATTATTAAACCTGGGGTTTGGCTTCGATATATGGACGACACCTTCATCATCTGGAATGGATCCGATAGACAGCTAGATTCCTTTATCACCGTCACATTAACATTAGTCTGCACTTGACAACGTTATATAAACAAAAAAATGAAGATCATGGAAGTTCGACAATCACATAGTATTTCTACTTACGATTTCTCAACAACAAACTGTCACGTTTGTTTTTCTTTAATCTTATTTAATTGTACACTACAAATTTGATATACCTCCTACTCAAACTAAAGATTTGATGGAAGATGTGAAAATGGAAGTTGGAATAGTATATTATCCAAATTAAAAAGTTTACCGAACGTGTTGCAGTGTTGGATACTACACTTTTCTAAGACTGTTAGTTTATGGGTACATTTTCGCAAAACAAGACGAACACATTCACTGATATAACCGGCAGAATTGACAAACGTCCAAATTCAAGGGGTGGGAAATATCTCCGAAAACATTCGATTGCTCCCAAACCCGTGCGGAAATGTCCGAAGTGGCTCGAATCCGTGGGAAACAAAACCAATGTGGCTTCCCGCACGCTAGATCGGTGTGTAATTAGGTATTTTACAGACGGGATTAGAAAAATGTAATTTATGATTTATATAGATTAAAAACAACATGGAGGAAACTAAGAAAACATTGTTTTGGAAAATAAATAATGTTAGGATTCCAGTATAAAAGCACTGTAAGGTTTTTATATAAACAGCCACAAATAGTGAATGAGCGTGTTCAATTTTTAAAGAAATGTACTGAAAATTATATATCAGAATTTAGAAAAGTTGTACTTTTAGACGCAATGTGGATATTTTCCAATGGAAGTGGTTTAAAATCTTGGCAAAATGAGTCTCTAAAATCTGTTTAATATTGTTCCTAATAAC